TGATCGGTACCAGCTGCAGACCAGAACGTCCTGTGGCAGATTCTGTGGGGCCAGGCTGACGCCCACTCCCACCACGGGGCTCGGCGGGGTGATGACGATGGTCACTGGGGTCTGGGCCGGCGCCGGCTGGAGGCAGGAGCCCAGGACAGAGGCTGCGGGGGGAGGAAAGTCTCAGTTGGGCAGCGAGAGGCCGGGGCGCGGGGGGGGGTGTCAGTTGGGGCCCCCTTCCTATCCCTGTTCTGACCCTTCCCGCACGCTCCCACCACCCCTGGCTGCTGCGGCCCAGTGAGGTTCCTCCGAGGGGATCTAGGAACTGAAAGTGAAAAAGCCTCCAGCCGGCCAGGCCCATCAGCACAACAGTGAAACTGCTGACAAGGCCGGCTCCAGGCACCAGCAGAGCAAGCAGGTACCTGGGGCGGCCAGCGAAGAGAGGGTCTTCGGCGGCAATTCGGCGGCAGCAGGTCCCTCAGTCCCTCTGGGAGCGAAGGACCCGCCATCAAATTGCCGCCGAAGGATCGTGATCATGGCTTTTTTTTTTTCCCTCCTGCTTGGGGCGGCAAAAACCCTGGAGCCGGCCCTGACCGCTAAGGAGCCATTGAGGGGTAACGAAGCCATTTCACAGGCGTTTGCCGACCCCCAGGGATACACTGACAGGTTCTGAATTTACTGACAAAACCAGCTGTGCGTCACTGTCATAGTTACTCCGAACATGTCACTCTGCAGGACCCGAGTTTAAAATTTGCTTTAAAGATATTTCAGTCGTGTGTGGCAGAAGATTATAAATTCACATCTCTGAAAAATCCTTGCGTAGATTTTTAGATGCACAATCTGAGTATTCGTCTTGAGCCTTAAATGCTTGGATCTTCAGACATTCAGTTTTCCTAATAAAGCCTTCAAAAGACCCACCCCCCGTTTTCTTACATACACAGGCGAGCCCGGGCTGCCGTCGGGCACAAGGGCACCAGTTTAATAATACTGCACAGGGCCCCATAAATCCTAAGGACGGCCCGGCCTGGGCCGGTTCCTGCCCGGCCTTTCAGAGCTCGGCCTCCAACTAGGGGAACCTGCCCTGGGCCCCTGGGGAACGGGACCCCCAGGCTGTGGCTGCACCAGGGACACAGACAGCGACATCGAGCTGGCGACAGCATCGTCCCAAACACCTTCCCCCTGAACCCCAGCCTGGCCAGGGTGTGTGTGTGTGTTTGTATTGAGCTGTGTCTGTGCATTCTCTGTGTGTTCGCAGAGCGGTATCTCTGCAGCTGTGTGTATCAGTGTGTGTGTGAGCACAGCTGTGTCAGTGCAGCTTACGTGTGTCTCTGTGTGTGTCTGTGTCTGGGCCACAGGCGTGTCTCTGTGTGGGTGTCACATGTCTGCGTGTGTCCCTGTGCACATGCGTGTGTCTAGCGTCTCTGTGCCATGGCAGGGGTGCGGGTCTCTGTGTGGGTGTCACATGTCTGCATGTGTCCCGGGGCACACGCATGTGTCTAGCATCTCTGTGCTGTGGTGGAGGTGTGGGTCTCTGTGTGGGTGTCACGTGTCTGCATGTCGTCACATGTCCCTGTGCACACGCGTGTGTCTAGCGTCCCTGTGCCGTGGCGGGGGAGGTGCAGGTCTCTGGGGACCCAGCTCTGGCTGTCACTCCCCAGTCGCAGAGCAGAGGGCGGGGTGGGGGCAGGTGCTGCCGATGGCCCCGTGGAGACAGGGTTTTCCCCCAAAGTTGCTGGGGGATTCAAACACACGAACTCCCCCCTGACAGGTCTGAGACCCCTGGACACAGGGCGGGTCAGAGCGAGGGTGTCACGGAGTGTGGGGGGGACACAAGGCCCTGCACCCCCGGCTTCCTGCGATTCACCATGACTCTCAGCCAGCCAATAAAGCAGAAGGTTTATTTAGACGACAGGAACACAGTCCAAGACAGGTCTTGCAGGCACAGACAACAGGATACCCCTCAGTTAGGTTCATCTTGGGGTCCCAGGACCCCACAGCCCCTTTGGGAGGTCAGAGCCCCGACTGCCTCCCAGCCACATCACCAGCCAGCTCCTGAAACTCCCCCCTCAGCGACCCCTCCCACAGCCTTTGTTCAGTTTCCCGGGCAAAGGTGTCACCTGGCCTCTAACCCCTTCCTGGGTTCTCATGTTACATGCTCAGGTATCTTCCCTGAGCCAGTCTCCCATCCCCCCATGCAGACCGTCCTAGCCACACTCCCCACTCAGCCTTCAAAGACCACATTAAGAACAGTCCCAGTTCGTCACAGAGGGACACAAGGGGCTGGTGCCCCCACCCCACAGCGACGGGACAGACGGAGATGAGCAGGAAACCAGCAAGAGCGAGAAAGGTCCCTGATATGGGTCGGGGTCTGTGCAGCACGACACAATGGGCCCCTCCATCTGTGGTCTGATCCGACCCTCAATCCCGACCCACAGCCCCCTGCTCTCCCAGCCCTGGTCTCCCCCCCACCCAGCTCTGCCAGAGCCCCTCACTCCCGACCCACAGCCCCCTGCTCTCCCAGCCCTGGTCTCCCCCCCACCCAGCTCTGCCAGAGCCCCTCACTCCCGACCTGCAGCCCCTCCACCTTCGTTTCTGCTCTTCTCTATTGGATGCATTTGTGTCCCGGACACCGGGGTTCCCCCTTCTCACCTGCCAAGAGAATCCCTCTCCAGGGGCCGCCCGGCCTGTTTGGGATTTGCCCCATTGTCCTTTGTTGCACCAGGACCTGCCTTGAACTGGGCAGGGTGGCATCTGCACTGGGACCAGGACCCACAGGCAGGGCAGCCCCATGGGGCCCCTCCCGGCTCAGACTTCCCTTCCCATCTGCAACCGCCCACTTCCCCTTCGGCCACTGTGGCGGCAGGGTGATTCACTGGGGAAGTGGGAGGGGGTGAAGGCTCCAGCTCGGGGTGCGGGCTCTGGAAGGGGACAGAAATGAGGCTTCAGGGTGTGGGAGGGGCTATGGGCTGGAGCAGGGCGTTGGGGTGCAGGAGGGGGTTGGGGTTCAGGGTCTGGGAGGGGCTCGGGTCTGGGACAGGGGATTCGGGGTGCGGACTCCAGCCGGGCAGCAGTTACCCCAGTCGGCGGCGCAGCGGGGCTAAGGAAGGCTCCCTGCGCTGCTTCCGGAAGCGGGCGG